AGAGAGAGATTCATTAAGCAATTATATATGTACTATCTACCAGTAGCTGCCTCATTTCCCACCCTCGGCTTATATTCGGGTCAATACTTTTTCCCAGTTTTTTTTGGTAAAATTAGGTACCTCGGCTTATATTCGGGACGGCTTATACTCGAGTATATACGGTATCTGTTAATATGGACAACCACACCAAGTGGTATTCACACCGGAAATATTGGATTAATTACCACACACAAGGATTAGGGGGAGTAATCGCAGCTGCTGGAGACTGTTCCTCCCCTAATCCTTCTGCGTGTGGGGGTGAACCAAATATGGCCGTTTTGAACACTACTTGGTGTGGTTGTCTATAGTACCAGATCTATTCATGCAATTAATGGGGGTGGACTCTGTATGGTTTGAGGGGGGCATATGTGTGATCTCACCTCCCAGTTAAGAAAGGCATTTACCCCTGGTTCGTTGTCATATAGTCTCACCATAAGCCAGTGGCTGCAGACCCTGAGAATGTCATTTTGGATGAAAAGAATAGGGTGGACCTTTGGGCACTGACATCATCGTGCTGCTAGCATGCTTCTGATGTGTTCATTTACTCCCTAGGTTCCTCATTCTGTGTGCAGTAATAGTTGTCTTCCGGGATACAGAAAAGCTCTCAGAAAGTCCCAGCAAACATGTTGCTATGACTGTGTTCTGTGCTCAGAGGGGGAGATATCTAACAGCACAGGTAAGTCTCATCACTCATAAATGATTTGTGCTGAAACCTTAGTAGTGCCACTGGCTACATTTTAACTTGCAATCATTTTAAACTGTGTTGATATTGTAAGAAAAAGAAAAAAAAAGTTTGTATCTAAATCAGTCTCATTTAGTTATATCTGGGCACCCTTTGCTCCTAAGAGAAAAGTGGTCTAATCTCCACAAACAGAAAGGGTCCTTTACAGTAAGAGCTGTAGAAATGTTAAATAGCCTTCCACATGAGCTAGTTCTAGTCAGCTCATTGTTTCAACAATAGGCTGAATTTGTTTGTAAATGCACAAAATCTAAATGGCTAATAACACTTATAAGGAATTACCCTGTAGGATGCTGATTTTGGAAGTGTGTGATTGACATTGGAGATCAGGAAAGATTTTTTTCCCCTGTTAGAGAAAAAAGGACCACATTTAATAAGATCGGTATGCCTTTCCCTGATCTGGCATTGCATCATAGCACACATGTTGTTGCTTGTTCTGGTAACACCCGTTATACTGTTACCAGGTGTTACCGCAATGATCTTTCAAAGATTTTGCAGTTAGGACTCAAAATCCCCTGGAAAATATTGATGATGTAGGCTTCCATCGCTGGCTGTTTACATTTTCGACAGTTTCCCCACTCGTGTGCGCGCTGGGCGCCATGCACGAGTGGGGGTGGGGAAGGACGTTTTAAGGCACCCACCCACTCCTATAAGGCTCCTGTCCAGCCGTTTAGGAACTGCCAATGGACGGGAGGTGGTTAAAAAAGAGACCTAGAGACTTGGAACTGAAATAGTCAAATTACATCTTGAGCTCACATATTCGACACTCATAATAATAATATAAGGAAATTCTGAGTGCCTTTAATGTGTACGGTAGTGTAGCCATCTGGACCAAAGTGAAAAGAATTTATCTTCACCCATCCCTCTTATTGATAGGTAATGCGTTCAAACATTACGGTTTTATCTAACTCAGAGATCCATTCGGATAATGAGGGAGGGAAGGGGGATATCCATTTCCTTGCTACCAGTCGACTAGCCATAAATAAGGCTATATGTATAGCCAATTTAGTGTACGAATCCATCCAAAAGGTATCAAAAATTGCAAGTGTGCAAACTCTGTTATCTAACAGTGCACCGAAGACAGAGTGAATGACCTTAAGCACTGCACCCCAGTATCGGACCAACTTAGGACATCTCCACAGTAAGTGTATCAAGGATCCTTGGTAAAAAACACATTTTGGACAAGAAGGGTCAATCTTGGCACCTATTTTGAACAGAAACTCAGGGGTACGGTAGGTCCTGTGCAAAATAAAGAGTTGGGTAAGTCTATGAGACGTGGACAAAGACACTGAAAGAACATCACTCACAGTACCCCTCCAGTCATCCTCTGTAATAGGGCCCAGGTCATTCTCTCACTTACTCCTGACACTCAAATGGGATTGTAGTGTCAAGTTGGTTAATAGGCAAATATATAGATAAGAAATAATACCCTTAGTATTGCAGGTGGCAACAAGGGTATTCAAGACCGGTGTTGGATGGAAGTGTGGAGAGGCGCTACCAAATTAGCCAAGTCAGAGCATGTCTGAGTTGCAAATATTGATAAAAGGCTGTTTGAGGCAATCCAAATTGGGATTACAATTGTCGGAAGGAACAAAGGGTGTTATCATCATACATCTGAGTGACTGTACGCACCCACTCCCGCCACCAATTTCTGAAACCCTGCAGTTTGAGGAGCTCTAGAAGCCTACCATTGTTCCAAATCGGAGTACATGTGGTATGCCCCAAAGTATGTAGAAGTTGTTTAGCCATCTCCCATACACGTCCCATTAAATTGACTGTGGTAAGATGCCTTTTTAGATATACCTTTTTAAAGGATAAGTCCGTCTCCAAAGTGCCCAAAGGGTCATAGCCATCAAAAAGATACTGAAGAAAATGAAGGACTGTGCATGCATCGCCTCACATCCCCAGCCAGAAAAGTGTTGTCATTGGAGGCAAGAAAATAAAGCCAGGGATTAGGGAGAGCTAATCCTCCCAAATCCTTAGGTCTTTGAAGGGTCACCAATTTCAATCGGGCCTGCTTTCGTTTCCAAATAAGATCCCTAAAAATATTGTCGATTTGCCTAAACATTTTAGAGGGGAACCAAATTGGGGAATTGTGCAAGACTATGGCGAAACAATCGCCATATTGAACCAGGTGGCCGATATGGGGCCCGGGGCACACGGGGGGCCTGGCCAGGACATCCCCCTGATGCCATGCATACCTCCTGGGTCGCTATGGCATCTTAGGCTGCTGGCTGTCCCTGGTGGCTGTGAGGAGGAACACTCCACTGTTCAGATCACTGACAACCTGTCAGTGATCTGTGCAGGGGGTGTTCCTCCTCACAGCCGCTGCTGAGTCACTGACAGCCAGCAGCTGCGGAGGAGGCTGGGCCTGGCATCGTCAGCGAAGGGGGAGGCGATGTCAGCAGCAGAGATGGAGGTAGGGCCCGATGACGGAGGCGGAGCCCGCCAGTGACCTTGGAGGAGGAGGAGGCGGACAGCAGATAGGCTAACAGGTAAGAGGTGCGCAGGGGTGTGACCAGCCCACCTGAGACCCTGCAGAGCCCCCCATAGAGCATCTATGGGGGGCTCTGCAGGGTCACTCTCAGGTGGGCTGTTTTTGATATCAGGTGGGCTCTGCAAGGGGCGTAACTAGAAATCACAGGGCCCCATACAAAATTTTGCTATGGAGCCCTGAGATTTCTAGTTACGCCCCTAGTGCAAGATATACAACAATTGTGGCAACCAGATAATTTTAATAATATTAACTCTCCCAGCCACTGAGAGGTGTAATTTAAGCCAGGCATCTCTTTGAGATCTGAATTTACTCAGTAATGGGAACAGATTAAGTGTGGCATAGTCTGCAAGTTGCGGAGACATCTGAATACCCAAATAAGTAATTCGGGAGTATATGGGGATACAAGACAAATCAGCTGCCAATGGGTTAGGTAAAGGGTCTATAAGAAGTAAACTCGATTTGTCCGACAGATGTACCATAACACTACGCAAGGAGGAATGAGTGTCCGCCAAGAAAAGCAAGGTGTCATCAGCATATAGTGCTAGTTTATCTTCATCTGTACCTCTATTAAAACCTGTAATATGTGAAGACTGTCTAATAATGGCAGCTAAAGGTTCAATGGCCAATGCAAACAGTAGGGGAGCAAGAGGGCAACTTTGTCTGGTGCCCCTCTGTAAACAAAAACCAGGGGAGAGTGAATTGTTAACCCTGATCTTGGCAGGAGAAGTGTGATATAGCAAACATATCCAAGCACCAAATCGAGGTTTAAGCCCAAATATGGATACAATGGCCCATAAGTATCTCCATTCAACACTATTGAATGCCTTCGCTATATCTAATGCCAAAAATGCTTTATTACCAGTATTATCTATAGGTTCTTGCATGTTCAGATATGTCCTTCGTAGGTTAATAGCAGTGGATTTATTAGGTAGAAAACCAGATTGATATGGATGCACAATAGATGAAATTGTCTTAGACAATCTGTTGGCCCAGTATATTGAATACAGCCAAGGATAGATACATTTATAAGCACCTGGATTTCCATGGGGGGACACTTCAGTTTAGTAGTCCCTCAAGATGATCATTAACCCAGAACTATGCAAGCTCATTTGTTGTTAATCACAATTTTGAGTTTACACGGGTTTGCTCAGAAGCTCTGAGCATTTAAGATCACTGACAGTCCTGTCCATGTCATTACCCCCGCACTTCGTAACTTCATTTGTAATTGAACTTTTGCAACGTTCTGACGGAGCCCTGCAACAGTAGGAGGGGCGAAACACGTTAACGTGATGTTGTGGGTGCTTGGCTAGCCACATACCTGCTATAAATGAGATATGCAGGATGTTCAGATGCTCTTCAAATATACAGCTTACTTAAGAGTGTGTATGTAGAGTGACTCTGATTGCAGTGGTAAACGTTTGGGCAGGAAGTTTCTAAATCACTGCTAATAGGTGGCATTACCTATGGGCAGATGAGCTACTACCCAGGGGTATTGACCCTTGAAGTCTGGCGATACTGTTGGGAACCAAGAACAGAGATCATCAATATCAGAATGATATCACGATTCCAGCTAAATAACTGTCCTCCAACATTTTGATAATAGTCAGACTAAACTATAGTAAAACTTAGCAGTGAGGCACACTTGTTGTAAGTTGTTTAAAGAAGAACTCGAAGAATTTAAAAAAACGTACCCTTGCAGTGGGGCTACCCTCGCACTGCAAATGTGAAGTCCTCCTTTCATGTAGGGGGCTCAAATAAAGCACTTTTATTCCTTTGTTCCTGGCTCCCCCAGCAGTAGGCACTCTCCTACTGCTGGGGGAGCTCCAGCTATGAAAACTCCCTGTCCAATGCAAGTCAATGAACCTGCATTAGACGTGATGACTTCAGCAGTCCTCCAGAGTCCAGGGAAGAAGAGATTGCAGGGACCAGTCTAGCAGCCCAGAGGGAGCTGGTGGAACCTAAGATCAGGTGAGTATATCTTTTTTATTTAAACCCCCTAGACAAAGCGAGGACTCAACACTTGCAGTGCGGGGGTAGCCCCACTGCAAGGGTAAGTTTGTTAAATTCCCAGAGTTCTTCCTAAAAAGATACTTGCTTGCCTATTTCTTACTTCCTATGGAGGGGGTAAAAATCAAAACAACAATGAAAAGATATGTTTCTGTGAAGAGAGAGTTAAAGTGTAAATAGGTACCTATTGACCTCCTCTACCCTGACACTCAGCTTGTTTGGGTGAGTGGCTATTACTCATGGTGGTAAAGAGTGGTGTATATTTATTGTTATTGTTATTATTATACAGGATTTATGTAGCGCCAACAGTTTGCACAGTGCTTTATAATATAACAGTAGATTAGAGATAAGATGGTTAAAAGGACCCTGATCAGATTTAAGGTACACAGAAGCTTTGCATGGTTTAAAGCACAGATAAAATACTTCCTGACTTTGGGGTTTAAGCCTTTTTTTTTCATTCACGTTTTATGAAATATGGACAATATGGACAATTATAGCTTTTTTTGTAAATTCTTATGCAATGGGTTATATAGAAGATGTAGTTGAATTAATGCATGTTTTATACTGCAGATTTATAATTAGACCTCTCTTATCTTTTAGATATGGAAAACTGCATCAAATGCACTGAACACCAGTGGTCTAATGAGAGAAGAGACAAGTGTATCTCCAGAACCATAGACTTTCTGTCCTATGAAGATGCTTTGGGAATTGCATTATCTCTCCTTGCTGTTGTGCTGTCGGCTCTCACCGTAGCAATTCTGTCCATATTTATAAAACACAAAGAGACTCCCATAGTGAAAGCCAATAACAGAGACCTCAGTTACATCCTTCTCCTATCTCTTACTTTGTGCTTCCTCTGCTCCTTATTATTTATTGGACGTCCACACACCATTACTTGCTTATTCCGCCAGGCAGCATTTGGAATTATATTTGCCATTGCTGTATCGTCTGTTTTGGCTAAAACCATAACTGTGGTCATCGCTTTCAATGCCGCAAAGCCTGGCAGTGAGTCAAGAAAATGGATGAAGGCTCGAATCTCAACATACTTAGTTTGCATTTGTGCTATGGGTGAAGTCGTGATATGTTTTGTATGTTTTTTTTGCAATCCACCCTTTCCGGATTTTGATACATCAGAAAGATCACTGAAGATGACACTGCAATGTAACGAAGGGTCGTCTGTTGCGTTTTACTTTCTTATAGGCTATATGGGTGTGCTGGCTGTTTTCAGTTTCATAGTTGCCTTTCTAGCCAGAAAACTACCCGATACCTTTAACGAGGCCACGCATATCACCTTCAGTATGCTGGTTTTCTGCAGCGTTTGGCTGTCTTTTTTTCCAGCTTATCTAAGCACGAAAGGTAAGTACATGGTAGCTGTTGAAATCTTCTCCATCCTGGCCTCCAGTGGTGGATTACTGTGTTGTATATTCCTCCCTAAGTGTTATATTATTATAATAAGGCCAGAATTAAACGCCAAAGAACGTCTGATTGAGAAAAAAGTCACTAACTATAATGTTGAACGTAACTAATTGATACAAAAGGAGATATCGAAAGAATAGCAAGAAGTATAGGAAAGGTGACTTGTGATTTTTGTCTGACAGGAGGTGACAGTATAATTCCAGGAGTGAATAGGAAGTGCAGAACAAATTTAACTGGAACAAAGGGAAACTATGGAGTTTGTAACCTAAGGGTTTCTTTCCCTATTCTTTTGTCACTTACTTCTCTGTACAGAGTGCTAAACACTTCTGTGACTTATCCTTTCTTCTCTTGTGATTTACATTGTTACTGGTATGTGTGATACATAACTAACAGCATGTTCATCATACCGCCCTTTCAGTAATAGTTTGTTCCCTCACCTATGAAAGACAGGTAAATGATTAGGAAATTAGTCGGCCTATAAAACCAAAAGCAGAGAATATATAAACTTGCCATCCAATTAGGATTCATTCTTCAGCATTTTGCATTAGGCACAGCAATAAAAAGTAATACCTGACTGGCAGCAAGTTGCCTATCATTCTTCGAATTTATTATTATTATTATTATGAAGTATTAGCCTATATAAGAATGTTATTTGTCCCTTAAAGATATCCCCCCCATAAGACAGGCTAGAGATATAGTAGAGTTTCGCAGGGGTGAAAGGGAAGATAAGATAGCGCTATACGCAGATGACGCACTTTTATTTTTGGGAGAAGCAGGGCATTCCCTTCCGGCATTCATGTCCTTAATTACACAGTTTGGGATATACTCCGGGATTAAAATCAATTGGGATAAGTCGGTGATGTTACCCCTAGACCCTGTTACATATCAAATTCCGGTAAATGCCTCCCAAATTCAAGTAGTAGATACATTTAAATATCTGGGGGTAGTGATATCAGCACGAGCTACGGAGTATATTACTCTTAATCTTGAGCCACAAATTATATGGTCCCCGCAATTATTACATATATTACATAATTCCCCTATATGGATAACAATGCAATGGTTTATTAAAATAGACACAATATATAGGAACTTAATATGGAAAAAAAAACATTCCTGAATATCATTAACAATTTTGCAGTTACCGAATGATGGGGGGGGGGGATTGCCATTCCCCACCCAAGAATGTACTTTTTAGCAGCACAACTACAACAAATGGCGGGATGGGGGGAAAAGGTACTTTCGGTATTCTCTAGATACTCTATTATATCACAGTTAGAGGCAGGTATTATTTCTACACGGTCGGTATATTGTACATTTTCCTTGATGGCCAGGGTATGGAAAGTTATGAAGGAGGTCATGGGATATGAGGGGTGTACTTCCCTTACACCTATTTGGTACAATCTGGAATTGATAGAGTTGGCTAAGTTGACATACTTTGATACCTGGATGGATAAAGGTTTACAATATGCTAAACAATTGATGAAAGGTGATGACCTGAAGACATTTCGAACTTTGAGGGAAGAGTTTGGTATCCCCAATTCTCATTTCTTTAAATTTTTGCAATTACGACATGCCTTAGAGCAGTGCTCCCCAACCTTTTTATTGCCGCAGACCGGTCAACGTTTGATAATTTTACCGTGGCCCGCTGAGGGGGGGACGTTGATTGTTTATATTTTAGATTTTTTAGATTTAATAATGTTAATTTAATTGTATTTAAGCATGCCTTCAAAATAAAATACAGTTACACCAAAAAATGAAAGCGTTGGAATTCTTCACCTATTCCACCACCGAAAAATTATATACACTTTTTAAATGTATTTATTTTTGCAGTAGTTCCAGGCATAGGCTGATCGGGTCCCCTGCGCTTGCGCAGTGAGCCGATCTGCCCTGCTACAGCCGACAGACACAGCGTTGAAATGTGGGACTGATGACGCGGTCCCACATTGTACCGCCGCTGTGAAAGTGGGAGGAGTTAGGGCGGGGGTACGTTAGAATGTGGGACTACGTCATCGGTCCCACATTCCACTGCCGTCCCAGTCCATGATGTTACAGTGTGCACTGCAGGGGGCGGGGCAGGACGTGTGACACACACGCCTCCTGTGACTCACCTCCCCTCCCGCCGCCTGTTACTATGGACGCGGCTGGGAGGGGAGGTGAGTCACAGGACCCACCCCCTCACTGTGAAGCCCGCCGGCAGTGCGGGGCCCCGGTGTTCGAACACCGGGACCATGCACTGCCATATATTGCATGACCGGACCGCACTGAGACTGTGCGGCCTGGTACCGGTCCACGGACCGGGGGTTGGGGAACACTGTCTTAGAGGCACAACGCCGAATATGTCCGTTGAGCCTTATGAATACCCCGCTGGTACATATGGTAGCAAAATCTAACTATAAAAAAGGGTTTATATCTAGAGCATATGATATTTTAATAAGGGCTTGGGCCAAAGATAGGATGCTGTCTTGTAGGCGAGGATGGAGGGTGATCTGGGCCCACTTTCAGATGAAGAATGGTCAGCCATATTGGCAAATATCCCTAGATCATATCTCTCGCCTACCCAGCGCCTTACTCAGTTATTTATAGTTCATAGAGTTTACTATACCCCTCAGAAACTTTTTAGGTGGGGTAAACGAGATACAGGGGAATGCCCTAGATGTAAAGGTACTAATGCCAACCTGATCCATATGTTATGGAGATGTCCCAAACTATTTAGGTACTGGGAAGATATTATCAGATTGATTAACCAAGTGTTTGATATTTAATTGGAGATGGACCCAGGCTGTGTTTACTGAATTGTGAGGAGGGGGAGGGACAGGACCGGGGGATTGGTGACATTAAAATAAGATTGCTGGGCATAGCAAGGAAATTGATTGCCATTAGATGGTTGTCTCCTAGGCCACCCGTATTAGAGGAGTGGTGTACTCAGGTTAACCAAAAATTATTGAAAGAAAGAATTATCTTTATACATAGAGGATGTTTGGGGAAATTTTGGAAGATATGGTCCCCATGGCTTTCTATGCCTGGTTTGGCTCCACTTAGATCACTAAATTCACTTATAGTATAAGTTAATGCTCACTTAAATAAAGATTTGATTTATAAGCGATGGTAAGGGGGGGAAAAACACATTATAAAACAACGAATAAAGGGAGGATATGTAACAGAAATATGCAATAGATATATAAAATATACACTATAAATATGTAGTAGGGAGTTTTTTTAGTTTTTTTTTGTTTTTACATAATACGGGAGTAAACACCTAAATAATATACAAAATTAATTAATATGAAACACTAAATACGGAGGTAGAAAATATCACGATATAAATGGGGAGGGTGAAGGGAGTTAGATAGGCTATGTGGGAAGCTAATTTAAGATTTGGTAAAAATAATATGAAGATCGTTCAGGGTTGACCATGAAATGTAAATGTTAAAATATGGACTAAGTTGTGAAAATAGCAGTGTCTTACATGTGAGTTGTATGTATGTATGTGGATGTATAATCATGTTGTTGTAAATTACATTATTAATTATGTGGTTGTAAATTATTATTATGCTAATAATTCCCTCTTTTGACCACTTTGTGAGCAACTATAAAACCTCATCCTGTTGCTTTAATGAGGTCCATAGTCTGAAGTCTGATCTCTCAGCTCCATGAGCAGCACTGCATAGGACGATGTTGCTGATATAATGGATTGTACTTACAAGTGATGCCACACATATAAACAGATCCTGTGATGCTCATTAAATTGGTGAAGTGTGTGTTGAGATGTCTCAGTGTTACAGAATGGAAAAATGTAGATGTGAAATACACATTTAAGTTGAAAACTTCCTAAAATTAGTAAATTATTTGTACAGTACTAGTCATATTAATATTTGTTTTTTTTATTATTATTATTATGTATATTTTATGTCATGTATAGAATTGATGTCAAAAGTTCTAATCATATTTTTCTGTGAAAAGTCAAGTTTTCTTAAACAGAATTCAAATAAATGTAAGTGATATGTTATTAATCAATGTGCATTATTCTTAATATTATTAGCATTATTTTTACTAAAAGAAGTTTGGAATGTCTTGCTACTAGGGCTGTGCAAATTAACGATTAATTTTTCGATTAATCGTGAATCTTTTTGATCGATTAAAAATTTTTTGATCGATTAAATTGTTTTTGAAACTTTCTGCACGAGCGCCAGCCAAGGCATTGGCCTATACACATACAGCGCAGCAATGAAGTAATAAAATGAACTAGGATCACACTAATCCAGCACGTTATTATTCTGAGTTGCCCCACTCAAGCGGCGGCCATATTCAGTGGTGCACGTGAGATTAACGTGCTGGATTAGTGTGATTCTAGTTCATGTTATTACTTCATTGCTGTGCTGTATGTGTGTGGCTAACCTTGGCACTTCAGCTGTGCCAAAACTACAAATCCCAACATGCATCTGCCTCTGGGAGTTATGTCTGTGGCTGTCAGAGCCTTGCAATGCCTCATGGGACTTGTAGTTCCAAAACAGCTGGAGTGCCAAGGTTCGCCACCACTGATATAGGCCAATGTAGTTGGATCTGTATGTGCGTTATAATTAATCGAAATTAATCGATTAAACAGAATTTCGATTAATCGAACACGAAAATTTTAATCAGTAACAGCCCTACTTGCTACTTTATAACGTATGTCCCCTATATAAAACTGGGTGGCAGGTTATGTTTATTAATTATTGTGGAATATTGTATGTTGTGTATACAAAGGATGTCAAGAATTCCAATCATATTTTTATGAGAAAAGTAAAGTTTTATTAAACCTAATTTAAATAAATGTAAGCAGCGTATTATGAATCAATGAGCTCACTGTCTTGTATTATTATTGTTAATATTTCTAGCCTCATTTTTACTAAAAGCGGTTTGGCATTTTCTTGTTACTTTATATTTCTGTGGGTTCCAGGTTACCGTAGTTAGCAAAACGTCAAAACTCATATGTGGTCAGCACATGTGCAGCCAGTATCTGGTGGTCACTGAGTTTGTTTCTTGCACCATTACTTCACCAGCCTCTATTCCAGGGGGAGGCAACCTTACGTACAATAGCCAATAGTCACGGGGTGTCTGCTTGCTTTGT